CCTTGAAAAGAAAGTTTTGTGTTATTATGGTTCTTTTCTTGTAGCAATCTTTCCAGTTCATGTATACTCTGAGTAAGTACTTTGAAGATACAATGGTGATGCACAATGTCATATAACTATTGTTATTCTTTTATTGTTTGACGGTGAAATTTTGTTTCCTTTTTTCATTAAAAACTGCCTCAGGACCAAGTATAGCAAGGACAAGTGGGGAATTACAGTCACAGAGCAGAGTGGAGGTGGAAAATTACTAAAAGAAAAGATCCAGGGGCAAGTGAGGATTTGGCTTCACTGGCTTGGCGGGCTTCTTGCTGCGGAAGTTCGGCCCCGCCAGGGTCATCAGTATCCCATGGGAGGACTGGGATGAGGGGAAGGTTCTCACTAGACAATGTTAGCAATATTCTTTTGAGGACAAGGCCCAAGGGTGCGTTTTAGTTGAAAAGGACTCAAAGATCTTATCTAGAATTTTGCCCAAGGAATAAGTATTGACTAGTTCTAAATAAAGCTTTGGGGAGCTGGGCGTGGTGATACGTGCCTGTAACCACAGCACTCTGGGAGGCTGAGGCAGAAGAACCCCAAGTTCAGGCCCAGCCTGAGCAACATAATGACTTCTTAAGAGCCTGTCTCAATAAAAAGGGCTGGGAATATAGCTTAGTGCCAGGATCCTGTTCATTTCCCAGTCCTGCCAAGAAGCAAAAAGCACAGGGGTGAGGTTATCAGTGTGGTCCCTGCAGCTTGTTAGAAACGTGAGCCAGTTGTCAGTCCTTCCGCCTGCTGGGAATGAGGGGAGTGCGCAGTTGGTGTTTAACGAACTCTGAGCGACTCACATGGGTGCTACAGACTGAGAACTCGTAGGTGGCAGAACTGGGCCCCGCAGAAGGTGCTCTTGTGCACGTACACATCGCAACATCAAAGGTAAAAACCAAGCAGTTGCGTTTTTTTGGTAACCTTCTCAACACGGTCACCCCTGCGTCTTGTTTGGCAGACTTTGCCTGCTTCGGCAGTGTGTCCTCTTTTGGAGTAGAGCTTCCCATTGGTCTGTGTTATGTAAGATTTGCAGATTTACAAAGTATCAGATATTAAAAGTGGAAACCGCCATTTAGATTGTAGAATTTAGTGCAGGCACCTTAGAGGCCTGGGGCTGAATTTTGTTCTTTGATACTTGAAGAAACAAGCTGATGGCGCAGTGCGGGGACAGAAGAATCTGGGTCTCCTCCTCATGCTCTTTGGACTGGAAACTATTTCTGTCAGGGCTGCGTGCCTGATCTAAATGTGCCGTATTTATCTGTCGGCGAGTTCTCTGAAAGCCCTCCCTCCCCAGGACAGAGCAGAGAACACCCGAAACGACAGTGGAAGACGCTGTCAAAGGCTTCTTTTTTCCCCATTGTGAATCATTGCCGAGTTTCAAAAAGTAGAATTAAAAAAAAAGCCTCTCATCACCAACCTTAAGAGATAAAACACAAAATACAATGAAAGCGCCATTCCGTTCTCACTGTACAGTGACCACAAAAACAACACCTAAATTATTATTCTTGTTTCCACATCATTAATTGCATATGAATAAATCTCCCAGTACTGTGGCACATCACCTTAAAGTCTTAAAATGTTTACGTGGTGGTCTGCACATGACTTTCAGCTTTCCGTTCTTTCCGGGCAGGTTTCGAGTTTGTCAGTAGCATGCGTCCTGCAGGCCCTCTGGAAATAGCGCTGTTGTGCGGGTTTCAGTATGTGGTTTCACTACACTCTGGCTTCTCTTCAGATCATATAAGTCATGTGATTATATCACAGCGTGTTCCTTCTAGTGAGAGCTTATTCCGAGCTTCAATCCCTTTTTATTGTGTTACTTTGCATTGTATTTTTTTAAAAAACTTGCCTTGTGTTCCTTGCCTTGTTTCTCTTTCCACATGAGTTCATTTACGTATTTTCTTCTTTCCTTTGTATCCAGTACTCAGTCCTTAGCACAAGGAGAAGAATGAGTGGTTAGACCGTTAGTTAGGGCCGGGGACATAGCTCCGTGCAGCGTCTGCTTGGCAAGTGTGAGGTTGTGAGTTCTATTCCCGGTACCGAAAAAAACCCTCCACAAAAGCCAAAAATAAACTCCCTAAAATCCCATTAGTTATTGGAAGAATATATGTTTATAGTAATTATATTCATGTATAAATTATCATTTTAGCTAATTAGAACTACATCTAGGAAATTTGCTACCTTTTTGTTTGGTTTTTCTAATTTTTTGGCTTTGTTTTTTTTTTTTTTTTTTTTGAGACAGGGTCTCACTATGCAGTTCAGGCTGGCCTTGATCTCACTTTGTGGCCCAGGCTGGTCTCGAACTCCCATCGATCCTCCTGTGTCCGCCTCCCAAGTGCTGGGAATAAAGGCATGCGCCACCATGCCTGGTGGCTTTTGTATCTTGATTTTGCTTTCTTTTCACCTTAGAGGTTAAAGCCTGGTAGGAAATTTGCCAAACTAACTTTTTAATTCTGTTTTAAGTTTGCTTGTATTCCTTGAAATCGATATTACATGTCTATTTTAGTTCATCAAACCATGAACTACCTGTAATCCCAGCATTCAGGAGGCTGAGGCAGGAGGATTGTTGCGAGTCTAAGATCAGCCTGGGCTACAAAGTGAGCTGAAGGCCAGCCTGAACTGCAGAGTGAGACTCTGTCTCAAAAAGACAAAAAAAAAAAAAAATCATCAACTAATTTACATGTTGCCCCATCATCCAGCAATTCTGTTAGTGCTCAGAAAGCTTTTGTTGTTAATAAACATTGAGATGAGGCTGGTGCCACGTGCCTGCACTCTCAGCACTCTGGATGGTGGCTGAGGCAGGAAGACCCCAACTTGAAGCCTAGCCTGAGCAATGTAGGAATTTAGCACAGCCCTGTCCCAAAGTAAAGGGCATAGGGTTTTATTTCATATGGCTAAATCTGTCCCCAGTACTGCAAAAATCAAGAAACACTTACTGCAAAATAACAAAGCGCACTTATTTATAGCCAAACCTGTTCAAAGGGAAATCAGCCTTAAAATACACATAAATGGCAGACAACACTAGTTTTTGAAGATTATGTTCACAAATTCATTGAGTTGTGTAGATGTATAAAATGTAATTTCCCATATTAAAAATTGATACTGAATATTTTTTAAAGCTCTACGACAGGTTGGTTTCTAAGGAAATGTTAGCCTTAATGACATTACAATAATGGTTAACTTTTCAATAATCTTTTAAACAAATCAGCGCTGCACTTTTCAAGTGTGTTTTTGCCTGCTGATCAAGCTGCTTTTCACTATTGGTTTGTAATATTTTATGAATAACTTTCTACTGTTGTGCAGGGTTTTTTTTTATTTGAAGTATTGATGAGGTAAATGTGGAAACTTATTTTAAATTTGAGGTCATGCCCACTAGATGGAGCTATTTTGCTGGCTTTATGTGGTAATAAATAGGCTAAATAAAAATAGAACTCTTTAAATGGAAGATCTTCTAGAATTAGGGCATAATATTTTGAAGGTAGATGACCTCAATGGAAGGAAGCATTCAAATGTTGTGTTTTAAGTTTGCTTGTATTCCTTGAAATTATTATCCAAGAGGATAATAATTTTATTATTTATATTATTATTTATATTTTATTTATTATTTATTTATTATCCAAAAGGATAATAATTTTATATTGCCCCACAAAATAGTATTCAGTACTATGTGTTTATCTTAATGATAAAAGACTAACTGCCAGTTTTAATGGCAGAGAACCTTCTTCGTCTTTTTTTTTTTTAAGACAGGGTTTTGCTAAGTATTCCAGGCTGCCCTTGAACTTGCTCTGGAGCCCATACCAGCCTCAAACTCATGGCAGTTCTCCTGCCTCAGCCTCCCAAGTGCTGAGTTTTATAGTATGTCAGATCTCTCCTACAAGAGTATAAAACTCTTCGTATTTTATTTCTTTATTACACTTAGTACTGTGAGGTACATATAGTGGATGACCTTCATGTATTTGTTGCATAAATGAATAGTTTTATTATGTGAGGTATTTTTATTAGTGTTACAGTATGTTAATTACTTAAATAGCTTTTCTTGGAGAAATTTCCATAGTGACAAAGAATTTGCTCTATAGTTTTTAATCCATATTTTTGTTATCTTTTCCTATTTTATACTTTTCTGAAATGACGTTTTATAATTAAGTTGGACCCATCTCACTGGAATGTCTTGGAATCATAATGATGCATTCTATCATGGTGAGGATATGTGCATTTTCATTTCTTTAAAGCAGAGTTTTAGCAGCGTGTGTGGATCCTTTCCCAGCACTCTGGGAGGTGAGGCAGGAGTATCACAAGTTTAACCCCAGCCTGGGCAATTCAGTGAGATCCTGTCAGAGAGAGGGAGAGAGGAGGCAAGGAGGGAGGGAGGGAGGGGCTGGAGATTGCAGTGTGAAGGCTCTGGGTTCAGTCCCCCAGTGTGGGTTGGGGGTCTTCTCAGCTTGGTTTCACGAGGATCTTAGGTATTAAAGATTGTTTAGCCCAGCAGTTATCAACAGTGTGGTTCAGGGGCTCAGAGTGGTGTGATACATCAAACCTTTTTAAAATCTGTGAGGCAGAGTTACCAGTATTAAAAAAAAAAAACAAAGACATTCTTTTCATGCTCGTTCTCACAGGGTAAATGGAGTTTTTCAGATCTTACAAGTTGCTGATGAAATGCGTAAGTTATATGAGAATCTAGCTGTTTTCTGTTAAGCCAGATATTAAAGATATTTACAAAACAAGGGCCGGGATATAGCTCAGTGGCACAAGCGCCTGCCTGGCAAGTGCAAGGTCTCAAGTTTGATTCCCAGTACCGCCCCCGCCCCCCAAAAAAAGAGAGAGAGAGAGAAGGCAGATTAACATATAGCTGGGCGTGGTGGCACACACCTGTAATCCCAGCACTCGGGAGGCTGAGGCAGGAGGATCTTTCAGAGTTCGAGACCAGCCTGGGCTACAAAGTGAGCTCAAGGCCAGCCTAAGCTGCATATCGAGACCTTGTCTCAAAAAGACCAAAAAAAGAAAAAAAATTAGAAAACAACACCTCTTATCAGTAAATTATTTTGGTTTGCAAATAGGTTTTTTTGGAGTCAGTATCTCACTCATTAATAGCCCAGGCTGGCCTTAAACTCACAGAGATCCTCCTGCCTCAGCCTCTTGAGGCCTGGGATTATAGCATGTGCCACCACAGCTGGTCTCAAAGTGTTTTTTAATTTGATATTTTAACTAGCATGAGTAAATTGGGAATATTGATCCATGTTTTTTTCAACAGTAAAATAGTTTTTTTGGTGTTTTTTGTAAAGTCACTATTATAACCTTGCCATAAAGTAAACTTTCCAACAAGAAAGGGGACTTGATAGCTGATACAATGTAGCTTTACCTGTGCCCCCAAGTTGAAGATGAGAATAGCTTCTTGTGTTTTAGAGTCTTTTACTATCTTCGTCTTTTCCCCCTCCCTTCCTTTTCTGAGCTGTAAAACAGTTACAAGCTTTCCTGGACATTTATGGCAGTGCACCCATAGAAGAACAAGCCTGCTAAAGTTTCAAGAACTAAGTCAAGAGGATAATCATTTTATATTCCTTCTTGTTAGATGTGCACTATTTCTAATGTTGAATGTTGAGATGGAGGCCTTGGGTTCTAAACCCCCCTCACCTTCGTTGTGGTCCTTGTGGAAGGAATTTAAAACCATGTAGTGAAGATGGGTAAGCAGGACGTGCGTAACAGCTGACTTCATTCAGAAGGCTTCCTTCATGAGGAAGTGAGATCAGATCTGTTGATTTCTTCTTCAGACCAGGGGGTGGGAGGCATGGACTGAAAGAATTTTCACCCAACAAGGGGAAAACTTTCTAGTGGTGAGAAAATACAAAAATAAAATCAGCTTGATTTGGAGATAATGAATTCCTTTTCTCAGATGTGAAAGTATAGATCATATTATTGACTCTTGGTAGAAATGTTGGTGAGTGAATCAGGATTTACGACTAAGTGAGCTAGGTGATGTTTAAGATTTTTTTTTCTATGAGTATGTGCCTGGGTAAACTTGTTGAAAATAACTTTTTAAACTGCACGTGTAAAAGACGATTTGGTTTAGCAGCTTATCTTCCACTGTTATATCAGGTGGTCAATAAACCTGAAGATTTTATGGATCTGAAGTCTTGCTGGGATCAGTGTTGTGAGTTTCCCAGGAAGGAGTATGTGTTTGGTTTGTTCTTTTTTTTTCTTCTGCAAAAGGCTTTATTTTCCTTTGGTCCAAGGTTTGGGAGGGGGCTCCAGAGAGGTGAAAGAGCTGCCTAGTGGCTGGAGGGGGAGAGGGTTAGGCCGAAGCCCTGATGCCAGGTGATGCAGGAGCCCCTCAGAGTCTGCCGGGCTGCTAGCCTCCCAGTCGTGCTTAAGGGTGAGCCTTTCAAAGACGTGCTCGCCCAGCCCAGCCTGGGGGCCCGCCAGCCTGCGGAGGTTGCTGAGGCGGTCACCCATCTTCTTGGTGAGCTTCACCTCGTCGTGCAGGAAGTGGTTCTCCAGGAACTCACAGATATGGGAGTCTGTCTTGGCAGAGCCCAAGGCATGAAAACCGGCAAGAGCTTGCTTCAGGTTTTTCTCCAGGGCCAGGGCAGCTTCCACGGCATCCAGGGTTTTACCCCACTCATTTTCGGAAGGTTTCTGCACGTCTCGGAAGAGAGCGCGGCCGCCGCGCTAGTTTTGCATCTTCAGCAGATGCTCGGCGCCCTGGCGTTTCTCCTCCGCCAGCTCGCGGAAGAAGTGGCCCACGCCCGCCAGAGCCACATCGTCACGGTCGAAGTAGTAGCCCAGAGAGAGGCAGGTGTAGCAGGCCCGCAGGTGCGGGTTCACCAAGCTGGTGACGGCGGCCTCCACCTCGGTGGAATAACTCTCACGAATCTGAGAGGTCAGGGCTGCTCGGCAGTAAGGAGCTACCCACAAAACAACGGTGTTGTCCGGTCCTGGAAGGAGACAGGCGAGAGGATGGTCCCGAAATTTGTGCCTGGAAGGTGGGTGGAGGAGAACAAAGAGAGGGAGTCCCCGGCTCTGTTTTGTCCAAACACCTTTGAAGCGAGAAACGTCCGTGGGACCTCAGGACGCGCCGCCCTGGTTTGTTCATTTTATTGCAAGTTGTTAAAAGGGACAGATTGGTAGCAGAAATATGGAAAAGAAGGGGATGACAGACATTAGAAAAGAAAAGAAAGCCGTTTTGAAAATGTAAATTTAATTGATGGCATTTTGGACTGTATTTAATTTTCTAAATTCTTTATGATCATAACTATTTTTTGCTTCCCGTTTATACCCTTTTTCCTGTCTGTTTATTTTCCATATCTTTTAAGAAAGTAAACGAGGCCATAATTAATATTTGTGTGAGGGCCAGGGGTATTGCTCAGTGGCACAGTGCCTGCCTGGGAAGTGTGAGGTCATGAGTTAGACTCTCCGGTACCAAAAAAAAAAAAAAAATTGTGTGAATTCCTCAATTGTTGCTGATTTATAAGTAGTAAGCTTCTTTGTAATATAAGGACTAGAACTATGACTGCATTAATATACTGTATATTACTTCTTAATTTTAATAGTATTGTCTGGGAACAGGAGAAGGATTTTGCTTTTTTTGTGTTTCTTTGTATGCTGGGAAGAAGTACATGTTCTTACTATTAATTATACACATTTTCAAATGAGTAAAACATATTGACTAGGAATACTAGAAATAAATGGATTACAACAAAGTATTTGGCCCTATTTTTATTTGTAATCGTTTGTCACTGTGTTTATTCTGTATTTTTCTCTGTATATTATTTATATCCTTAAATAAGAAGTTGAGATCTTACAGTGTCATATTATATGTAAACTGTGGAGTGATCTGTTAATTTTCCTTTCCTTGTGAAGTGTATAGTCTAATGGAGAAGGCAGACTGGCGCTTTAGAAATTCCCATTCAGTAAGTCTGCCTAGGAAAATAACGTAGAACTTGGAGTCTGGTAATGTGAGTTCTTATTGTGCCTCTGTCTATTTCTTCATCCAATTAACTGTTGTTGAATGTTTATTATATGTCCCAGAGATCTGCTAGAAATTCACAGATGCCCTGGAAAATTCCAGTCTCTCTGGTGTTGTAAAAAAGTGGTAGCCAGCCGATATGGAGTATAACTTGCAGAAACTGTGTCCAATAGTCTTTAAGAGCAGGAACTTTACTCTTCCTGTGAGCTGTCTGAAAGAGCTCATGTTTGAGGTGGGTCTTGAAGGATAAGTAGAAATAGTGGGATACACGTTCTCCTGTCCCCTAGATAGAGGGATTCTTATGAACACACAAAAGCATGAATGGATAGGATGTTTGAGAGAATAGCAGGGTATTATTTTTCTTCTCCCCCCTTCCTTTTTGGTTTTTTTCAGACAGGGTCTTGCTATGTAGTTTAGGCTAACCTTGAACTCATTATATAACCCAGTCTGGACTCAAACCTGCGGGATCCTCCTGCCTTAGCTTTCCAAGTGCTGGGATTACGGACATGTGCCACATGCCATGAGAGAACACTGGGGTATTGCATAGTTGGTTAAAACATTGGGTACTTCGTGAAGGTAGAGATAAGAAAAAAAGCTACATATGTAGGATGTGGGCATACTGTGAGGAATTTTATCTGTCTGCTAAAATTGTTGCATTTTTATATGAGAGACAGTTGGGACTTGTGGGAAGCTTTCAAGCAGACGTACTTCTGCATTTTCCAAAGGTAATCAGTACAATACAGGTTCAAGTGGAAAGTTGAGGCTAGAGGCAAGAGTACTGCTCGATGTATTTTCTTTTTTTTTTTCTGGTACCAGGAATCGAATTCATGACCTTGCGCTTGCCAGGCAGGCGCTGTGCTGTGAGCTAAATCCCCAGCCCTCATGTTCGATGTATTTTCATAACAGACATGAATGGAATAATGGGGGTCCAGGGTAGTAGTAGTGACTTTAGACCAGAGGAAAAATACAGCTCAGAGTTCAAATTGACAGGATTTAGTGGCTGGCTGACAAAGAGAGGACCCGGAGGGAGGTTTTGAGGTTGTGTCTTTGAAATCTGTGTAAGTAACTGCTGGCATCTAACTTTGAGAGGGAGAACAACACAATTTGAGTGAGGGAATTTGTTCTTGTAAGACTTAGTTTGCTGGAGTAAAACTCTATGTTGGAAGCATTGAGTTGTAATCAGAGGAAATGCTTATAAAAGGGAAAGGAGGGGGATTAGAGGGGAGACATATTAGATGTAGCATTAACTCTTTTAAACCCTCTGTTATGTGTAAAAATATGGGAGGAGAGATCAATCATTTTTCTAATTTGGAAATAAGGAGGGTTATAGTTATAACAAATTCTAAATTAGTGGTGCAAAAATGATAATAATTAAAACTTACATATTATAGGCCCATAATTTCTTGTAATTCCCATTCCAGCACGAGTTAAGTAATATTATTATCTGGGTTTTCAGAAGAGAGAGGATATATTAACTATTGTAGAACAAATAATTGGATGTTCAAACCCAGGTCATTCTGATTTGAAAACCCAGGCTCCTGAACCACTCTGCTATTTGACTGTCTCGTAGAATATAAGAGCTGTAATGGATCTAAATACCTCATCTAGCCTGGCCCTATAATCAAATATACATCATTGTCAAAATCTATAATTAACGTCAAGATTCACTATCCAATGTACTTAATAAAAAGGTTGCCCAACAACCATTCATTACTGCTGTTGTCTTTGTGGCAGATCCTTTTTCAGGGGTAGAAGGTGGATTTAACACCACTATCCCCTGACTTTATAACTTTAATAAATCCTGATACGCCTAGACCAGTCACGATTACACCATATTTGTTGCTGGTCAGTAGATCAAACATGGGAATGCGACTCTTCATTTGGCCAGTAATTTGTATGTGACACATGAAACATGAGTGATTTTATGCAGGGCTCCTTGCACGGTGTCCCCTTCCGTTTCTAGACGTTCCCCTCTAGATGGTACTTAGAATCGCAGGCATGCTCTTGTAACCTTATGGGGGTGGGGAGAGAGTTCAGGATGAAGCCAAAACACTGGATGCCAGAGTGAAAATAAAAAGGTAAGAACTTGTAATCCTTAATGATCTTGTTGAACTGCTAAATTACCCAGCCGTAAAGATACTCTGCTGCAGAACTAGGTCTTATGTAAAATTAGAAGACGTTTATTAGGCTGTGTGAAATAAGGAAATGTATTAGGCTATTGTGAGGCCCACACATCCATATTTATTACTTAAAGAAAGCTAATAAAGTCTGAGGTGTTTATCCTTGGTGTAAAGTATAATAGTAAAGCATCATAGGGCTTGTATTGCTGTGTAGACAGGGTTAGAACAGGAAGAGAAGACAGTTTTCTTGGCAGTGTGTCTAATTTGATAGTGATAGTGTGCTTATTTAATTGAGTCACCCGTGGAGGCCGGATGCAGAGACAAGCAAGTTTATTGGGGGCCAGCAGTGGGCACCCAGTACATGACAGAGCTCTGACCCTGAAGGGCAGGGCGGGAGGATAGTTACACTGTTCTAGTTCAGGGTCCAGTTCCAGGGCTAGGGGAGGTGCCGATATGATTTAGTGCAGCTCTAGAAAGACTACACAGCATGGGCTCAGCTCGTGACAAAGGAACAGAGGTGTCTGACATTTTACACAGGGGACGGGCAGTCTTATGACAGAGCATGGGGTGGTATCGGGTTAGGTAACTGTGACAACACTTACAAGAAACAAACTTAAAGACACAGAAACTTAAGCTTTAAAGTGGCACTAGAACACAAAATGGCATTGGTCTAGTTTTCCTTCCCACATCAGTAGAAGTTGGAGATGATCACACTATAGAAAGTTGAGATATTTTGTAAGTAAGATTTTCAAAAGTTACATATTTTAATCAGTTAAAATTACTGTCTCTTAAATTTATTTTCTCTCTCTCTCTCTTTTTATTTTTGGTCTTTTTGAGACAGGGTCTCACTATGCACTTCAGGCCAGCCTTGAGCTCACTTTGTAGCCCAGGCTGGCCTCAAACTCTCCATAAGCCTCCTGCCTCAGCCTCCCTAGTGCTGGAATTATAGGCATGCGCCACCACGCTCAGCTTATTTTCTCAGTATTGGACACTGATATTGGGTGGCATTAGAATGGCTAGAAGCAGTTTGGGAACTGGCTAAAGGAAATTGTAAATGCATTTCTATAGAGTATCTGTTTGCAGTTGTTTGTGTGTATAGTTGTGACTAGCCATCCTCGAACGGGCACAGAAATATTCTTACTGTCCCTAATTTCCTGGCTATGAGGTATACAGATTCAGGGTCAGAGATCTTAACAATATGAACATATTCTTTGTGTTTGGTACCGGAGTATGTAGGTAGAGGAACAGAAATATTACTTAAGTATGTGGAGCTACATCCCTAGCACTGTTTTATTTTACTTTGAGATAGGGTCTCAAAACTTGCTGGCCTTGCCTTGAGCTTGCTATCCTCCTGCCTCAGCCTCCAGAGCCTCTGGAATTACAGATGTGTGACACCATGTCTGGGCAAGGAAATTTTTCTAGAGTTCAGATATAAAAGAAACTTTTAAAAATTGGTGGATTGATTCTGGGGATTGAACCTAGGGCCTTCATACCAAGCTATATCTCCATCCCTTTTTATTCTTTTCATTTTGAAACAATCTTGCTGAACCCCTGAGTTGCCCAGGGTGGGCTCAAACTTGTGGTCATCCTGCTTCACCCTCCAACAGCGCAGGGATTTTCCTAAATTTGGTAACATTCCTGAGAATGTCCATGACGTTCTTGGTAATAAGTTGTAAAGCTGATACAAACTTCTCTGTGCTGTTTATACTAAAAAATGATCAAACACGCTAGCAAAAAGTCTGGGTTCTCTTAATATTGTTACTGGAGCTGTGGGCAAAAGCCCAGGCATAAGGGCCCCCTGCAGACCAGGCTTGGCCCCCTGCCCCCAAACACCAAAGAGACAAGGAGCAAAAGAGGAGCTTTCGTTGGTGTGTCTGCCTCGGCAAAGACAGATAAAGAGGTTCAAGATCTGTGTGCAAGGGGCGGACGGGAATTGAGGGCTTTATGGCAAAGAGGAGCAAAGGAAGGCTGGGGTGTGCGTGGCAGAAGTGTGGGTCCGCCTTGGCCTGGTGAATCTGTTATCGCAGGACTGGCTCTGTGAGATGGGCCTGGAGTCCCCGTGGTGGGAAGGGACGGTCTGGTCCTCTGGAGAGCTGTGCTTCTGCTTGGGGGCTGGACGGGAGCGGTCCTGCCAGGCTCAGGGTCAGGACGGTGAGTGGAGACCGGTGGGACAGACACCCTATAAACCTGGCCGTGGAGGTTCCTACAATTCTTAGAAGGAACCTTATTTACTCTTATCCTGGTGTCTTCAGCCTGGAAGGGGAAGAGATATTTCCCTATTAATGTTCTTCAGGAATTGGAATGGGGGGATATTTGGTAGGGAGAGGGAAGGCCTATGCTGTGTTCCATCTAGTGAAGAGCATTTCATTCCAGGGTTCCTAGTACAGAGCAACTAAGATTGTGAGAATTTCCCACATACTAGATACACAGCCCCTTTGTTATTAATGAATGTAATGGATCATTATGCTGTCACTTCCACGGTGCTAATGGGGCGACTCCTGGTGATGCAGGGGGAATGCTAGATGTCAAATGTGCTGAGTTCATGTCCTCCAGAGTCGAAGAATGAAGGAACTGTAAGGAACAATGGAGGGTAAGAGTAGGAGAATTCACTGGAGAAAAGGAAAGGGGAATAGGAGAGCTCCTGAGAGAAAGGAGGGGTCCTGAATAGGTTGCAGCCAGCCACCCCCAAAGGAAGGTTTATAGAGCAAAATTACGAGGCGGGTACAACACGGGTCAGAACTACGACCCACTAATGAGGTGGTAGGTATAGTCACTTAGGTAATACTGATCTAATGTACAGGGTACGTGGGTAACAGCATTAACTTCAGTTGGTAATCTGCAGTGTTCATCTTGTCTTTAGTCTTAGTAGCCTTTATTTTTTAATTTTATTATTATTATTATTTTGGGGGTTATTTTATTTTATTTTGAGGGGGTAATTTTATTATTATTATTATTATTTTGAGATAAGGTCTTGCTGTGCAGTTCAGGCTGGCCCTGAGTTCACTTTGTAGCCCAGGCTGGTCTTGAACTCACGGTGATCCTCCTGCCTCAGCCTCCCTAGTGCTGGGATTACAGGCGTGCGCCGCCAAGCTAGGCAATAGCCTTTAGTCTTAGTGGTCTTAGTCTTAGTCTCAGTAGGTGAGAGAGGTTGAGCCACCCCTATTGAGATAATGGGAAGTCTCAAAAGCATGACACCAATAATCCCAAGCCTCCGTTCATCCCTTAGGGAAGTTTGTAAAACTGGCCATTGTGACTTTCTTCTTCACATGGGCCCCCAGCCGCAGTCCTGATGCAGTCTCTCCTCCTATGCTGACGGGCTGGAAGGTGCAGCCCTGTGGGACTGCGTACTGTATTTCGACCTGACTGAGCTGTCCAAATACTAGCTGGGCCCCTAACTGGCTTCAGCATGAGGGCTGGTGACGCAGGATACCGAGGCTTTTTCTGAGGGTTAGCTTTGGGGTCAGCCTCCGGGGAGAGAGGATTGGAGACTGAGCTTAGTCATTTAATCAGTCGCACATTTAATCGCGAGCACTGACTTCATCAGTCACTCCTGGGTGATGAAATCCCAGTAAAAGCCCTGGTCATTAAAGGTTCGTGGTGCTTCCTGGTTGTAACAGTCACCCGTTTCCCCAACAGGGGATCCATTCCAAGGTCTCCAGCGCGCAGTACCACATTCTACATACGCTGTACATACAGTTTTGTTCCTGTGATAGTTCAATTGATAGATTAGGCACAGTGTGAATAATGGTGACAGTAAAAAGAAAACAACTAAAGTGGACCGAAACAAATGTTACGTGCGTGTTCTCTTTGCCTCGCTGCCTGATACCTTCTGGTGACCACCCGAGGTGACACAGTGCCGCTGTGCGGACTGAAGCGAGGTGAACGGCACAGGTGCGGCAGAGCCTTCCTGGCTACCTGAGCACCCCTTGGGCGCAGGCACCGCGGCGCTGCCCACAGCTGAGGCGGCTGCTCAGTGACTCCCTGGTGGCGAGTCAGAGCTGCTGAGCGGTTAGACTGTTACTTCCCTAGCTGCATAGGGGCAGCGTTCAACACCCGTTCCCACCGAAACGGCTCTGGAGAGAATAGGGTGGTTGGATATTTCCCTAGCAGGATCCCACACATTCACCTCAGTCCTCACGTCAGCATCTTACTCAGGGGAAACACGGATACATTCTTACTAAAGCCAGGGGTAAGTGGAAGGTGCGTGCGTGTGCCTGCTGCTGTGCGGCCTCGTGAAAGCGGGTGTGGTGCTCATGCCTGTAATCCCAGCGCTGGGAAGCTGGGCCAGGAGGGTTGCAAGTTCTGTGCCATCTGGGGCGACGTCGTTCAGAAACACCAGAAAACAAGCAAACCAGTAAACCTATTCACTGTGCTCGAGGTTAAAGGCGGTTCATCTTGATAAGCCAAAGCAGACAGAAGTCTTTGAAAAGTAGAGGTAAAACCGTACATATGATTGTGTACCAGAAAAATTGTAGAGACTTAAAAATAACAGTAGAAGAATTCAGCAAAGTATCAGGATACAATATTAATGTGCAAAAAGGTATTTCTAATATGTGGTAGTTAAAAACTTTTTGAGAGACAAGACAAAGAAGTATAAACTTAACAAACATTGAAAACTTGTATGCAGAAATCGACAAAACACTTACAAACGACAGATTTGAACACACGGATAGATGTAGCTAGTTATGGGGATCCCGCCGTGGCCCCCAATCTCCTGTAAGGTGTTACAGTGCACAGTAAAAAGAAAGAGCCAGAGACAGAACGGCGATGCAGCGGGGATCTGGGCTGACCAGTCTTTCACGGGAACGAAAGGGCGGAGAGGCCGCCGGAAGCTCGTGTTTATCGATCACATTCACATTGAGGAAAATGGTGAGGGGATTATCGGACTCAGAGGGCAGCAGAGATCCTAAGCTAATGAGGAGCTTAGGTTGATGAGCTCAGTGGAGAGAGATAGCAGGTGAATAAATTTGTCCTTTCCCCCAGGGGAAACCTTCGTTGTTATTATTATTATTATTACTCCTTTCCCAAGGAACCAGCATGTCTTCAGCGGATGTGATCTTGCCCTGCAGCAGCACAGCATCCCGTGAGGCCTCAGCTGTTTCCCCACACCACGGCTGGCTCCCAGGGCAAGAACCGGGCCTTGGACAAGCCCTGATCATAATGTAATTATGAAGTGCTTTTCCCCAAAATTATATAGAATGGCCCTCTACAGTTAGTTCCCATATCTGATCAAAATGTTTTTGAAAATCAAGTGTCCAGTGAGTTTCCTTTCACCATAGGAACATTTTATTGTATTGTAAGCATGAGTTACTGTGGGAACAGCAGCTCCAGTGAGCTCTGCTTTAGGAGCCTCTTCATGGTGTGGCCCTGAGGCTTGAACCCAGGGGCACTTAGCACTGAGCTGCACCTGCAGCTCTTTTCCTTCTTTCCTTCCTTCCTTCCTTCCTTCCTTCCTTCCTTCCTTCCTTCCTCCCTCCCTCCCTCCCTCTCTCTGCCTTTCCTCCCTCCCTCCTTTCTTTTTTCTTTCCTTCCTTCCGTTTGTCCATCTGTCCTTCCTTCCGTGGTCTTACTATGCAGTTCAGGCTGGCCTTGAGCTCACTTTGTAGCCCAGGCTGCTCTCGAACTTGCAAAGAGTTCATGAGCTAAGGTTGATGAGCTCCCCAATGCTGGAATTACAGGTGTGTGCCCCCATGCTTGGCGTAGCCTCCTAATTTTTAAGAATAATCACGGTCTTATTTGCCAGTCATTTGCTGTTGTAGCATTATAGTTTTATATTTTTTTAGTACAGTTTATTTTCATCAGCAGTGTACTTTATAGTTATATAAATATTTTTAAGCAAGTTATATGGGAGATTAAAATTACTACAGCATAAAAATCTTAAATGGCTTCCCCATATGTATCTGACACAAAATGAAAGTATTACTATCAAGTTGGGTCATGGAATTTATGCCGCTAATACTGAGTAATGAGTATTGTTTCCTGATATTTTGTAATACAGTTTTTTAATAATTTATCATTGTTAAAGGATATTGCTTAGCATTTATCAGCTATTCTCTTAAAAAATAGAACCTCCAAAAACTTTATAAATTTTTTATCTGCATATTTTAAAATTAGAAGAAATGTTGAATTGTGTACACCATTTTCTTTTGCTAGAGGTTAGGCAACTAAATGACTAGGAACTAATTTACGCTTATCACTTTGTCTTTTTGGAAAGTATTTCAGTAATGTAGAGCATGATTTTTTCCAGGTGTTTTTTACTTTTACAGATTTTAATGTTCCATTTACAAAATATCATTACAAATAATACTTGAGTTTTTTAAGATTCGTTTTTAGCATGTTATTTTTCATAGAATTTTAAAAATATTTACAGATCCAGGAAATTGAAGCTGATACATCTTTTTACTTTCTCTGTTTTCTTTTTAATGACAGTTTTCTTTTGTTTATTTTTTTATTTTTTGTCTTTTTGAGGCTGGCCTTGAGCTCTAGCCTATGCTGGTCTCGAACTCTCAACGATCCTCCTGCCTCCAGCCTCCTGAGTGCTGGGATTACAGGTGTGAGCCACCATGCTTGGCTCTTTTGTTTAATTAGACTATTTTATATTAAAATTACTTTGAAGTAGAAGAATATTCTATAACATGCTTCAAGAAAATAACTCAAACATAGTTGAATTTTGGTACGTGTGGGATTACTGGGAATTGAGCTATATCCTCAGCCCCTTTGTTTGACTTTGCGATAGAGCTAAATTTGGCAGGCTGGCTTCTAACTTGATATCCTCCTGAGTGGGTGGGATTGCGGGCATGCTCCACTGTGCTCACCTACTTGACCCTTTTATTGCAAGTGGGTAGTACTTATTCCAAACTTCTTCATATTTTTAGTAAATTAGCGGAATGTAAAATTGAGTATTAATTTCCTTCCTTTTGTGGAAAGTGAACATCAGACATTAAAAAGTTCAATGAAGCTGGGCATGGTAGTACACTCCTGTAATTCAGTACTCTGGGCAGCTGAGGCAGGATTGCAAACTTGAGCCCAGCCTGGGGAATGTGTGTGTGTGTGTGTGTGTGTGTATATATATATATGTATTTATTGTCTTTTTTTTTTTTTGGTTTTGGTTTTTCTCCGGTACCGGGAACCAAACTCACGACCTTGTGCTTGCCAGGCAGGCGCTTTGCCGCTGAGCTAAATCCCCAGCCCCCTTTTTGTCTTTTTGAGACAGGGTCTCACTATGTAGTTCAGGCTGGCCTTGAGCTCACTTTGTACCCCAGTCTGGTCTCAAACTTGCAAGGATCCTCCTGCTTCAGCCTCCCCAGAGCTGGGATTACGGCCCTGTGACACCATGCCTGGCCCGCCTGGGGAATTTAATGACTTAGTAAGACCCTGTTGCAAATAAAAGAGAAGAGGCCTGGGGAATGTAGCTCAAGAGAAAGGCTAAGTGTTCCAATCCCCAGTACTGCCAAACGGAGAGAAAGCTGAGCACACTGGCCCGCCCTGTGTCCCAGGCGCTTGGAGGGCAAAGGCAGGAAGATTATGTGAGCCCAGGAGTTTGAAACTAGCGTGAACAACATAATGAGGCTGTATCATTAAAAAAAAAATTAAATTAGCAAAATACTGATCACCTTACTTTTATTTTTTGTATATTTATGATAACATCTGCACTAATATTTACTTACTGCCCTGCCTAGAAGAGAGCTTTCGTAGCTCCTAGCATTCAGTAAATCTGAATTGAATAAATAAACGTCCGCGGAATGAAAGAAAGAGAACAAAGCTGAACATCACGTAACTGTAAGTTAATTTACTAGAATTACCTGCACATTGACTGTAGCATTCAGACATTGAAAGGAGCTCATGGAAGAAACTACTTTTTTGCCGGTGAGTCCCCGAGGACAGTTGCTGTGTCTGTCAAGCACACTGCTTTCCTCTGGGAGCATCCATGCAGTTGGCTTAGTGGGACAATAGTCATTTTCCTAAGCGTTTACTTATTAGCCACGAAGCGTTCAGGGCTGGAGATTCCAAGATGAGTAATCGTGTGTTTCCAAGGCGCTGTAATCTAGCGGGCGCTCGGGAGCAGCTACAGCGGAGGTGCAGTCGCTGCTGCACCAGCACAGAAACTCTCTGGGTGTCGCAGTCCTCAGAGTCGGAGGCGCCGCAGCGCCCTGGAGGTGGCTTAAACCTCCGTGAGGAGACAGTAGGATTTCATCTAGTGGAGATGGGAGGCAAGGATCCTGCTGCGGATAGGCCTCGAAAAGGTGGGAAAGCCCGAGGGCGGCACATTTATTAGCTTTGTCCCGAGGGAGCGTTTTGTAAATTGTCAGCGGGTTTCCTGATATGACAGAAAAGCGATCAGGCGTCATTAGATGGAGGGCCATGCTGAGAAGATTAGAGGATTTTAAGTGGGTGATGTGTTCAAATTTGCAGGTTTGAAAGGGCGCTTACTGTTGTCACTGTTACGCGCTTAGATTGCACAAGAACTCGTCCTTAGGCTGTGACAGTTAACTACAAAAAAGAATTTGAAGTGATATTTGTCTCTGAGACCTTCCCGAGCATTATCTAACCCATATTTGTGGGTTCTGCAAACCTATGTTTATTGCGGTGCATGTGAACGTAGTTTTTTCTTTTGAAAATTTAAAGAGTGAAACTTTTTTGAAGGCTTACCTTCAAAGTACACTTTTCATGTCAGTGTACCTACTTATAAGAAGTAAAACATGTTTTTCCAAGACATGGCCTTTAATTCCCATTGCAAGGCTGTCCGGAGCAGTCTTTCACCTGCCATGGGGATGCAGAATTGGAGCGGGTGATGACTTTGTCGTGTTGGGCCCTCAGGTGACCCATGTGGGGGAGAAGACCCTGTTATTTCAAGCTACTGATAGTTTGACATTCTTTCTTGATAAATGTCACCTAAGTTCTAGCAAACCTGTCTTCACTGATGCAACCTCTATGTTAAAAAAGTTTGAGCTTGTAAAACAATTATTTTAGAAGGAATCATTGTAGAAGTACAAAAATAATAGAGAAAATTTACCTGTCCATACAGAGAAATTGAAATTATCCCAGCTCAGGTGTGTACTAATGGAAGAGCTGTTCATAATATGCATAAACTGTAAAACGAGTTATTGCAACTAAGAAAATCATTTTGAAAGAGATTCAGAAGCTACTTTATTTTTAATTTGTTACCATGTATACAAAAAATGTGATATTAAGTCCATTACAAAACTGGGTAAAGCTGGGCATGGTGGCGCACACCTGTAATCCTAGCACTCAGGAGGCTGAGGCAGGAGAATCCTTGCAAGTTCAAGACCAGCCTGGCCTACAAAGTGAGCTCAAGTCCAGCCTGAACTGCATAGCAAGACCCTGTCTCAAAAAGACAAAAAAAAAACCAAAAAACCCAAAAAACAAAAAACAAAACTGGGTAAAAATTGAAGACATCTGTAATTTTGCAAGTCATGTAAGGAATCTAAACAGTTCATTTGTACTTTGATATTTACACTTCCAAAATAGTTTATATGTGCATTTCATTTATTTATTTTTATATGTACATTTTAAAGCGAGGAAGGTAGAGAAATTAGTGTTTATTTGAAAAACATGAGTTACTAAAGCAATTTATAATATATTGACATCAATTCAGCCTAGCATATTTGAAATGTAATTAGAGCACTCATGTATACAGGTACCTAAATCTTTGCACAAGACATTTGTATGGTATTTTGATTGTTATCATAGCTAATTATGAATAAAGAGTAAAAATTATACAAATATACAAACCACTGTCTGCTTAAGACTGTTATCATTTACTGATAGTAAATTAGATTTCCACACTAAATGATTCCTGTTAGGCAATAAAATTAAAACTATAAAAAAATGCAGTGTAACTTGTACAGTAAATAAACTATTAGCAGTGAGCATTACTGTGAGAGCTGGTAGTATATGAATTATTCACTGCAAACTTATTATCTCTGTGTCATTAGCATGTAAGATAATGAACCTAATTATCATCGCTCTGAACTCGGGGGAGTTGGCGATTTATATGAGGAGCTTTCTGGGCTGTGGTTCCGGTTCCCATCCACTTGAGTGTTTAGAGAATTTGGAGACCAAGTCTCTCCTGTGGCTTCCCCCTCCCCCGCTTCTCTGCTGATATTATATTTAGGGTTAGAGTTGTGGGATTTTCTTATGCTTGAGTGCCTTTTTAAAGGAGTCATGACAATTCCATGTATGTATTTTAATTTGTGCTGCTTTTACTGTCACTTAGCATTGTAGAGAGGATATTGTTGGTATGTATTCTTTCCTCCGTGCATGTAGGTTAGCATCACTTATTGTAGGAGATTACCATAAATAGTGTAATTACTTGAAAAATCTAGGCTAAAAGGTTAATAATCAATTTTCTCCTCTAAAAGGATTTGAACTAAGATGATTTACTCTGAGAGAACTTGGGATTAGCGTGTAGCCCTTTCTTATCTTTAATATTGTATCTCTGATCTTAATTTGAGGTTTTGATGAACTTCTTGTTTCTATTTTCTCTCTTACATTATAGTATCAATTATCTGTAATAAGCCATCCTAATTAAAGTTGATAAATCTACAACTGCTTCAATTATACACTAATCAATTATACACTAATTTAATTCTACTTAGCAGGATACAGTACATCATTAATCGGTTTCAGACTTAATATAACAGATTTAGAAGTAATCAAAATTTGGAGCACATTATTAGTTGGGGAAGATGAAGGATCGTAATGTCTAGTAATTCACAATATAAACTAAGAGTTTCATTGCTAAAAATGATGGAGTGTAGCTGATGTTTATGTTTATTGTTGGATGCCGTGGGCTATTATGGTGATGATGTAGTATCTTTAGATATTAATGTTATAATACAATTTTTATCGTACCTTCTCTTAAATTTTTATCATTATTTTCTCGTGATACTAAATGTTTTTTTTCCCCTTCACATTGTTGTTCAACATATGTAATACCATAAAGCTGTACCTTCATTAATTTTTTTCAGGGCTGTAGTGTTTTATTAAATTAAGTGTGTAATTTGCAGTGACTTCATAAGAAGTTTTAAAAGCAAAGTTACATGCATCCTTACGACTTCTTTTAAACCTTGTCATAGCACACAGAGAATGTTAGTAGTTTGTTTTCAATATATAAGCATGCACACAAATGTGTTTTATTTGAATTATGTTAGGAACTAAGATGATTAGATGTATTTTGAAAATCTTTAGTAAAATGATCTTTGTTTTTTTTTTCTTTTTGAAGTGGTGACTTATATTTGACATGGAATTCTTAGGAATGGATTACAAATTCATGTAATCATTTTTACTGAATCACCTACTCACTGAATAAAGCGATTCAGATTGAACTCATCACTTGCACTTTTATACACATTCACATATTAGGAATACGTCTCGCCCTGCCCGGCTTATTCCCAAAGAACTAGTATTTCTTTGTTCACCTGTTTTTCTTTCTTAAAATGTTCTAGGTAGAGATCTGACACATTTTGGAGGCTATGTTTAGTGCATTTTACCCTTTTCAGAAGCTTAGTTTTAGTAACAAGTTTCAGGGAACTGTATGAGTCTTCAATCCATCCTACCTCAGTGCAGCCTTGCAAAAAACTCAGGTAAGTGGTTAAAAGTCAAATCGGGCAGATGGCTTTTTTTTTTAATTTTAAAGAGAAAAAGTAATAAAATAACAGCAACAAAGACAAAAACAACACAAAGACAATAAAAATGATACAGAATTTGAAAACAAGATAAAAAAAGATGATAGGAAATTAACAATGGTTGTTATATTACATATAGTTATCTTCAACTAAGTTGCTCAGATGGCCAGATGTAAGAATGCAAGATTGATCAAACCATTAAAGAGAATAAAAAATATTTAAAAAAATTAGAAACAATGCGGAACTTCACTAAACAAGATGGTAGGAATTCAACTATGGTTGTTATGTTGCATATTGTTGTCTTCAAATTAGTTGTTCAGATTACCAGATTTAAGCATGCAAAATTGGTAAAAAAAAAAAAAAAAAAAAAAAAGACTTAAGCATTAACTGTTCCTTTTAATAAATCAATAGACATCAGCAGTACAATTATCCCAGGTATCCTTGTATATACATATATATTTTTTTCCATTCCTTCTTTCTTTCTTTACTCCTTGCCCCATCACAGTTGTTCCTTCTCTTTGAGCACTTATTTCCCTTTCACAATATCTATTGTACCTTTCAGGTTTTATTTACTCTTTCAGATTCTTACTCTAGGGAGACAATATGATGTTCACACATGTGGATCTGGTTTATTTCACTTATGAGTGTGGTCTCTAATTGCATCCATTTATCTATAAAAACCTCGAGCTTATCTTTTTTATAGCTGAATAATACTCCATTGTATAAAAATACCACGTCTTTTTTATCCATTCCTCAGTTGATGGGCATTTGGGTTGTTTCCACAATTTAGCTATTACAAATTGCACTGCTATAAACATGGGTGCTCATGTATTGTTGTGGTATGATGTTTTCAGTTTTTCTGCAAAAATACCCAGAAGGGGAATAGCTGGGTTGAATGGGACCTCTAATCCTAGTTTTCTGAAGAATCTCCACATTGATTTCCATAATGGTTGTAGCAAGTCTACATTCCCACCAGCAGTAGAGAAGAGTTCCTATTTCTCCACAGCCTCGCCAACATTTGTTATTGGTTGATTTCTTAATGATAACCATTTTTTCTGGGGTGAGAGGAAATCTCAGTGTTGTTTTAATTTGCATTTCTGGAATGACACATGATATTGAACATTTTTTTTTTGCCATCTGTATTTCTTATCTGAGAAGTGTGTATTCATATCAGATGCCCATTTTTGGATTGGGTGTTTGAATTTTGGGGGCCTGATTTTTAAAAATTCTTTATATGTTCTAGATAGAAGTCCTTGGTCTGAGGGACGGTTGGCTAA